TCTCCAAAATGTCTCTAAATGTTCCAGAGTCTCCAAAATGTCTCCAAATGTTCCAGAGTCTCCAAAATGTCTCTAAATGTTCCAGAGTCTCCAAAATGTCTCCAAATGTTCCAGAGTCTCCAAAATGTCTCTAAATGTTCCAGAGTCTCCAAAATGTCTCTAAATGTTCCAGATTCTCCAACATGTCTCCAAATGTTCCTGCTGGTTCTCATTTTTCTCCTGACTCTCAGAGTCCTGTCACCTGACTTTTAGACGTGTTCAAAGATTGTTTCACAATCTTCCTGTCAAAATCATCACAGGGGTCTTAGACCCATCTGAGACATGCCCCAAACATGTCTAGGACACATCTCAGACCTGTCTCAAGCACATCTTAAACCTGTCTCAGTTTAGTTTCTGTACATTTCAGAGCTGGATTCTGACCCTGCAGGATCCCTACTCTGACAGAAACCAGGTCTAAAAACCACTCAGGTAATATGTAACAGAGAAAAATAAGAACAGGTCCAAACTGGCCCACATTTAGTCCTAAAGGGTACTCCAGCAGATTGAACCAGAGCACAACAACAACAACAACAACAACAACAACAACAACAACAACAACAACAACAACAACAACAACAACAACAACAACAACAACAACAACAAATCAAACTTATATAGTGCTTTTCAGGACACTCAAAGACACTTCACAGGAAAAGGAAAAAGAGGCAGCCTGACAGATGAGCTGAAATTGTGAAGGGGGTGATGGAGGAGGGGCCATGTGGAACAGGTGGGCTTTAGTGATTTGGAAGAAGGTAAAGGTTTTTTGAGGAAGAGGCTTGGACCTCCAGGGTACGGTGCTTGGTTGTGATGGGGGTCAGGAGCTGGTGAGTAGGAGGGTAAAGCAGATGATGCAGGACGACATGTTTGAGGGGTGGAGGGACAGACAGGAGGACAGACGGGAAATGTTACAACGATGGATGAATGATGTCATGGTGAGGGTGTTGATGTGAGACTGAGAGAAGAGGGAGGAGCCAAAAAAAGACACCAAGGTTGTGCACTAAAAGAGAGGGAGTTGTGTGGTCGACAACGAGCAGGGGGATGTTGTGAGCAGTGGGAAGACTGAGGAGTTGTGTTGTTGCTGTAGAGCTGCTCATACACAGCTGTGTGTCGTCCACACACAGTGAAGGTGTGTTGGTGCATCATGTGTGAGAGGAGCAACACTGAACTAAAGTAACGTGCACACACAGGAACAGGGTTTCTCCAGCTGTGAAGGTGAAAACACACTGCTCACATCACTCAGAAGTCATGGACCAGCTGTGGACCAGCTGTGGACCAGCAGGGTCTTAGTCCTGAGACCAGGAGCTCCCAGGACTCTGGTAAAGACCTGAGCAGAAACCGAAGGCCTGACACGTGTTGGACAGGATATCCAGTTCCTGCTGCAGGCGGCTGTAAGTCAACCCAGTCACTGAAACCTTCTGATCCAGGAGTGTTTGAAGGCCCACATGGGCCGGTCCAACTGGTCTGACTGGAGTCTGGTGCCACACGACTCTGATCACAGCTCCAGTTCTCTTTTACCTGTCTGAACTCACCTGAGTTCTTCACAGCCCTCCTCCAGCTGGCAGCAGGAGGCGACAGAACCAAGCGCTTGAGGCTGGAGGTTCTGGAGGTTCTGGAGGTTCTGGAGGTTCCGATGTTTGTCAATCAAAGACAAATCTTTACTCTGAATCACCTCCAACAACAACAAACCAGCAGTTTAACCTTTAATCTATAAAACTGAAGGCTTCACCTGGTCCCGCCTGCAGCAGGAACCGGTTCTGTTGATGTGGACCTGTCAGTGGTGAGGTCAGAGCAGGAAACAGCCCACATCAACAAACACAGTTAAATCTGCAGAACCTCACCTGCACAGGTAGGTTCTGTTTAACCCTCCTGAGCCCAAACAACACTTCCTGTTTCTGCTCCTGCTGACAGAACCTGTCAGTGTGCAAGACGGACCTGATCTTCTGCCAGCAGGACTCAGCTGGGGTCACCAGGTTTGTTCAAAATAAAATAACTTGAAACTGAAAAGACCAGATGTTTGAAACTTTTCCAGATCGTAATGAACTGTTTTTCAGTTTCAATTTTATTTTATTTTGAACAAACCTGATGATGTCAGTTTAGCTCCAGAGAAGTCAACTTGAACTGCTCAGATTGAATCTGAATTAATTTACTTTGAAACTGTATTTTGGTTAATTGAAAATTCAGTTTGACTACTTTCACTTTCAGTTCCATAATTCAGATGTTTGTGTCACATCCTGGTCCTTGAGAAAGCCAGGCAGAGTAATCAAACACAGATCCACAGATTTATGTTTCACTTTGGTGAAGTTTCCCTTCTGGATGTAACAGAGTTGATGTAATCCACTGTAAAAGTGACAAAAACAAAGTTATTTTATTGCAGTGATTAATTTGACCTATATGTAGAAAATGTTACATTTACATGATGACATCATGGATCAGTCAGCAGCAGCGTCTGATCAATCTGTGATCCATGATGTGATCTGTGTTTGATTACTCTGCCTGGCTTTCTCAAGGACCAGGATGTGACACAAACGTCTGAATTATGGAACTGAAAGTGAAAGTAGTCAAACTGAAGTTTTAATAAACCAAAATACAGTTTCAAAGCAAATTAATTCAGATACAAAACTTTAAATTCAGTTTCTAATTAATAAATGTTATTTTTAAACCAAAGCATTCAGATCCAGTCTGAATAATTCAGTTTCACTTCCTGTTGGTCCAACATTTGTGCCACAGTTCTGCAGCTTCAGACTCATGAAGCTGCTGTGGTTTTACAGGAAAGCTGCAGATCTTCACTCATTCTTCACCCTGTCTGGTAGAAATGATGATGAGCAGAGAGGGTTCACTCACAGCTCCAGGATGAGGATGACCTCAGCTTTGTTCTCGAACACTTGGTGCAGAGCGATGATGTTGGGGTGCTGGATCTCCTTCAGGATGTTCACCTCACGCTCGATGTCCTCCCTGGTCACGCCGCGCCGGCTCGACTTGCTGCGTCGCTTCTTGATGAACTTGGCAGCGAACTCCAGTCCGGTGGAGCGGTGCCGACACCTCCTGACCACAGCAAACTGCCCACTGCAGAGAGAAACCACAACATTGTCTCAGCTCAGAGAGCGGGAGAAACAGCATCGCTGTGACCTCAGCTGGACTCTTTACACGGACCCTGAGGACCCTCTGTTAGGACCCTGAGGACCCTCTGTTAGGACCCTGAGGACCCTCTGTTAGGACCCT